ATTAAAAGAATGCTCCACTGGAAAAGAAGAAAAGGGAAAATGAAGAATTTCACTCTTCTGTCTGGTACTTCACCACATAACCCAACATTATTATGGCTTTCTTCGTTGCGCTTCTTTTTTTTTTTTTTTGAGTCTCACCCACGCAACTAAGAGTCCCCCAATTATTACAGCAAGGTTTATCTGTATGGATCTAAATTTCAAAATATTCAGCAGCTCTAAGCTGGCAATTAGTACGTGGCCATCAGCAGAAAAGTACAACACAGTACTAGAAGCCAAATGTAAAAAGTAGCAGCCTGGTTTCATACAGAGATCTAACCAAAACTGAGGAAAAAGGCAGCATGACAAAGGTTGCTCCCATGCTCTACATGGATGCAATCTCTGCCAAGGGCAGTTGGAGAACAGTACCTATATAAGTAATGCAAGGATTTGGCTCAACCAGCTGTTCTGGAGAATAGTTTTACAGAACTGAAGGCAGACAGGACAGGATAAGTCACCTACATCAGCTGTTCTTTAACAGGTAATAGTAGTAGAAGAAAAAAGAAGTTTAATGCAAGATTCTGTTCTTAAGCCAAAGAGGATCTATTGCATATATGTATGAAATATATCTTAGTAATTTTTATTTGAATACTGTTATTAGACCTGTCAAAGCTAGCAGAGAAAACGCCATTGCAGTATCTTACAAGGGACTATTTTACATGGGGAAACTGAGGTACAGAAGAGTTAAGGGATTTCTCCAAGATCACTGACTGGTAGGGCCAGAAAATGTAGGTGGTAAATGTCCATAAAATCTTCATCTCAAAACACTAGAACACGGAAAGAAGCATGGTCCAACAGCAGCTTCTACATACTTAAACGAGACCAGTGTTGATCTCTCTACAAAAGTGGTTCATGCTTTTCCACAAAAGTCTGGAATACAGATAAGCAGAAGACACTCTCAAAGAATCATGGGATGGTTGATGTTACAAGGGACCTCTGGAGATCATCTTGCCTGACCCCTCTGCTCAAAGAAAGGTCAACTAGAGCAGATACTCAGGACCAGTTGTGTTTTGAGCATCTGCTAGGACAGAGAATCTGCAGCTTCTCTGGCAAACTGTTCCAGCATTTGATCACCCACACAGGTGGGTTGGTTAAACTGACTTTTAATATTAATCCTAATGCTTCCATCTGCAGAACTTGGTTAAATTTCTCGCTACTACTGAAATCCCATCAAGCTTTTTATCAGGTGCATAGATGGGCATTCAGAACACCTCAGGATTCACATCATGCGGGGATTATGAAACTATGTAATCATGTGACACCCTTGGGGAGGGGAAGAAAAAAAGAAAGGACGAAAAAAAAGGCAGGCACTGTCAGATTCAGTCGTAACACTTATGGCTAGGAGACATTACAGGCACAGCTACTTATTACAGAACTTAAAAACAAAATGCCAGGAAAAGACAGAGGGAGAAAAACCTCAACATCGTTACATTGAGAAGTCATTCTTGCACATACAGATATAGTCCAGATGCAAAAGTTACGCATGTTGCTATTGCACCTATTGTTTCAGGAGCAGTTTGCCCATTGATTCTGTATTTAAAACTCCCACTGCTGGCACTGAAAGTTCTATGAGTCTGAAAACAGTCTATTTCTTAAATAAGCTAAACTTCACCCTTTAAATGAAGGAAGAAATCACATAGTAACACAGCATAATAAATAAATAAAAATTATAGAATTATTTCCCTTTGAAAAATAGTCACATGGAATTATTTTACATATATATACACAGTAGATTGATGTGCCGTTACAATTCTATGACAGATCAAACTTTGACTCCTACAGTCTGATACTATTATAGCATTGCACCGTGTTTTCTGAGACATAACAATACTAGAGCAAGTTCTACTTACATATAGCCATAGGCAGAAAAGATGTGCTGAGATACTCTATAATATCCTTGTGCAGAAATGGAGGAAAGGTAGCTAGTGTTGAAATCATTGTATAGGGTAAAGTACTCAAAATATCATCATTGAGAAAAGGAAGTAAGCATGTAGTAGTGTAAAAAATTGATTGCCCAAGATCTGTTGAATAAAATGAAATAAATACAGAATCATTACAACGGAAAAATGATGATGACTGTACTTTTTAGTCTACAAAACTATTAAATTTTAAATTCAAGTTTTCCCCTCCAAGTAATTTGGGAAGATAATCACTACAGACAAGCGACTTTACCCACCATTTTTAAGCCCCTCCTAAAATAGAGGGAAACAGCTCTTCAACAGTACTCAAAAGAGTTTGAAGGTAATATGACTCCTACAGCTGGTCAAATAATTTATTAAAATCAATGTTGATTTTAACCATAGAGTGATTAACATACAATGGCCTGCATTTCAGCAGAGATGCTATTAGAATCAGAATTTGAGATGCACTTTGGTATTGAAAGGCCTGCTTTAATCTTAATTACCCTCAAGAGAGCTGCAGAGTACATGCCCTGCCCTGCCTATGAAAGTGTCACTGTTCCCAACTACGGGAAGTGTCACTGTATTTTTCAGACAACATGTGATTAAAACTCTTGTTTTCCTGGGAAGCCATTGAAGCCAAAAATGGCCAAGGCTTAAAAGGAAAGGAATATTTATCAAGTATTTCTTATACTTATTAATTATAATATAACTCTTTGGAAGGGATGCTTCAGAAATGTGCAACAATTCAAGATCCAAAGGGAAGGGACGGGTTATTGTGTATCTGGGCACTGTGAGATCTTTATACCCTCTTCCAAATGAGGAATTGAGCTGCGGCAAATAAGCCTCCAAAAAAGGTTACAGCACTCAACGAACCCAAAGTTTGAACATGTATGATGATCCCAATACATCAGAAGGCCTTTCCCCTGCATGGAAGGGATTCCTTTTGTTACTCACTCTGTAACCTTAAGTATGTTACACAGGCCTTCAGTCTCATTTGTACAGCTAGTAAGATTTTAAACTGTCTCTGTAAAGTGCTCAGAGGTCTGTAGCTGTAAATATCCTAAGTCACAGTAAGAATTAAAATTAGCACTCCATTTCAGTGGTTCTGGCAAGTCTTCCGTGCAAGGGTCTAACCAGACACTTAATGCCAGAGTGCTTCTCTCTTGCAATACATATTTACCAACTAAGCATTGAGAGTTTTGTACAATCTGATTGGACCAAAGCTAGTGCACCAGTTGTACTTACCCAAACAACATTGATTGTTCTGATTAAAAATACACATATATTTCTTTTAGTCAAATGCTAAGCTGAGGGAGAAATAAGCAACATGTTGTATTGCAAAATTTAATTATCCGTACACAGAACCATAAAAAAATAGCAAGTGACCTTCCCTTGCCCCAAGCATGAGTCAACCACATTACTCCCGGCAGATACTTATCTAAACTGTTCTAAAAAATCTGCAAGATAGTTCACTCCTCCTCCTGGCAATTCAACCTAGTGCCTAACCATCTTTATCATAAAAAGACTTTTTTTTTTTTAATTTCCATTGCTGCAGGTTAAGCCTATAACTTCTTATCCTGATCAACTGTAACTGCAAATAGTTTGGTTTATTTTATTTCTCCTCACAGCAACCTTTACATATTTGTATGATAATCATGTCTTCCTGCCATTTTTCTCTAAGCTACACAAACCAAGTTCTTTCCATTTTTTCCTCACTGTTCACATTTTCTAGACCTCAAATCATTCTTGTTTCTTTTTCCTGGACTCCTCCTAAATGGTCCATGTCTTTCTTGAAGCCAGATGGACAAATCTGAAAATTTTACTCCAGCTGTGACCTTGGTAGGGCTGTCAGAATGATAAACAAAATTCTTTGGGTATTTCTTACATAAAAAACAATTGTTTACAGATTGCTAGAATAATATTAATATATTAGTGACTAACTTTCTGCCTCTGATCTGCTGTAACACCCAGATCTCTCTGCAGTACAGCTTTCAAGCTAGTATTTTCCGCATTTCATTTTAGCCTTTGATTTCTCCTGCTTAAACATAGTATTTTACATTCCTCCTTTGAAGATATTTCAAAACAGAATGTCATTTGCCAAGATTGTTTTGAATCATATCTCTTTCATGCAAAGGACATGCTATTCACCATCTTGATAACCCCTGCAAATCAAAGTGCTCTCTCATTTCTATCAGCCAAATAAAAAAAAATATAAAATATTTAATAAGACTAGACCCAGCACAAACTCCTGTAAGATTCCCACTTGGTACACCCTTCCACCTGACAAGAGCCACTGGTAATTACTCCTGGAATGTTTTCCTTCCTCAAGTGGGGACCGTATGTCCCACATATTAGGATGTCAAGTGACACAGCAACAAAAGCCCAACTAAGGACAGGAAAACCCCGTCATGAGAACCATTGTGCTGCCATAAAAAGAAATTATGTTTGCTCAATGTTACTTGTTCTTTACAGGTCTCCCTTGGTTGCTAATTATCACCATGTTACCTATTTAGAAACAGATTGTTTTGACAACTAACTCCACCATTTATAGAAATCAAAGTCACGTTGATAAGCCTGTAATTTGCTAGGAGCCCCCCTTTTGCAAGATCATACCATTTCCTAGTGCAGTAGTCTTTGATTCAAAACACACTGCTGACAACTCAAAAGGAATTCAGCATTTAACAGAAAAAAAACTTTCCTCCTAAAGAATTTCAGCAGTGTACCAGATTGACAACAATCTTCCTGTACTGAACTATGTACACAATACACCCTGATACCATGGTGAAAATTAGTATTTGACTTATGTAACGTAGGGAGAACACTGGGCTCTTGAATCCCAGTATGGAAAGCCATAGACTAACAAGACAGACATATGCAGAAGTTGAGGGAAAACAATATAAATACAACACAATCACAAACAAATCTTGTGAGGAACCAAATCAAAATATTACAAAATACGGCTTTTCTGTAAGTCAGATAGAGATATTACTATCTTTTTACCCTGGAATATTTTAAAGCCATCTCGAATCACCACTACCATGCGTCTTCTTCAATCAAATGTATACTACGTTCTATTTAGAGATGGACCTTCACCAAAACACTCAATCTGCATATTCATTACAGGCCAGAAACACATTTGCAAGCAATTCGTGCCTTTTTAAGAGAACCTCCCCAAAAAGACAGGTCAGAAGATACCCCAGCAGATTCAAATTCAAAATCCAAGGTTTTTTTCAACCCACCCCTATTATTTTTGAGACATACCATTGTATTTTAGTTGCATACCACCAGCATATCACTAAAAACCAGACAACCTCAGAATTCAAACCCAAATCCACAGTTAGCAAAAAAAGATATTTTATTTAAGAAAGTCAAACCAAACGCTTGGATATAAACGCATCCCAGGAGAACTGAATTCCAGATCCAGGTCAGTTTAGGCCCATCTCTTCTACTGCATTTATGCACCATTCATGGATTCACAGCACTGAAGTTAAGCGTACTGGAAGGGTTCAAGGGCCTGCTTACCATGTTGACCATGTTGTAGCAAGGGAACTAGATCCAGCAGTGTCACCAGTGTCACGTAAAGTCCTTGATAGTCCAAAGATGGGTAGTCTGATAACTGAGCATCACGACTTTGCTGGCCACGTTCAGATGGAGCATCTCGCAGGACGCTGTAAAGGAGGGAGCGAGTAACAGTAGGGTTGATGGAACTGACCTGTGGTCTTAGAGATGGGGTGAGTGGGAATGGCACAGGAAAAAGACACATGGTCATGGGCACTGTCAAATTGGAGGCATCTTGATTCTCCTTCTTCCCTGTGCGGGACAAAATGCTGTTGGGGGGACAAAGAAAAAAAAGAGACAACAAAGACACAAAGAACAGCACATTACATTGAAATGACACTATAAAACAAATAATAAAAGACCAGATACATCCCACATGAGATGCAATCACTACCAAAACCAGTGTGTCTACAAATCTAGCAACCATTCGCTTTCATGCTTCAAGATAAGAGAATTAAAAATTGACATCTAGGAAAATCTCATTGCATCTTATGTGTTATCTGGTTCATAAGGAGCAAAAATATAAAAATGCATGTTTCAGTGCCCTACCCATGTTTCACAGTTAAGAAAAATTCTGAGAATTAAAAGCGTTTGCTATGGAAAAATAGCTGTGTCAAAATAGGCTGGTATTTTGCTCCAAGATTTTGAGAGGTTTATTCCCCACCCCCACCCCACCCCCAACAATCTTTTGAACCAAGTGACTGAAAACATGCAAAATATAGGTGTGGCACTTGCAGAAACATGTTTTAGCAAAGAATAAACATGTGCGTTTGTTAAGATAGTCTTAAAAATCACATGTTTATTGCATTAAAATAATGTCTGTATGTATTTTATGATACTGTTTCATGACCACTCACTCAGTATCATTTGAGATAATGAAGTTTAAACAGGCACATGGATTTAGAAATAATATAATATTTCTAAAATGTTAACTAAACTACATTTGGAAAAGTTATAAAATAATATATAGTAGATGGTCTTTAGCATATGTTTGTGAGCTAATGATAATGGTTGTTTATGTGTGTTTTTAATTTTGCCCATGTTTAGGGAGGAAACATTTTACTTTATGAATACAAACACTCCTTGGGTAAATAGTTACCTTCAAAAATCTAAGGGCTAAGCAAGCAAGATCAATTATGTA